ATCTTTTCTGAGAGCCAGTCCCAGGATTTCAGGCCCCACCTAGAAACCTCCTTGATTGCCCCTCATTCCCCACACCCCCAGTCAGTCTTCCCTCAAGTTCTGAGCCTACACCCTCTTCATTCCTCCATGTAAATATCTTCTTTTCCTCTCACAATCATCCTTAAGGTGTTTTAAAGCCAGAACCCAAAAGATTAGCAACCACAAGCTACTTTCCCCTTATTGAAGGGCAGGGAGGAGCCTCAGAATGTTTGGTTTCCATCCTTAGAGTGCATGTGCCTCAGATCCTAGAATGGGTTGGATCATTTAAAGCAGTTGTCATTAAGTTTCTGATTTTAAATTGGTTGAATATTCATATCCTGTTATATTCTTTGGCTCAATTAATCTCTACAACAAGCCCATGAGGTAGGTTGTATTATCAGCCCCATTTTATTTTATTTTATTTATTTATTTTTTGTATAGTTGATTTACAATGATTACAATGTTATGTTAGTTGCTGGTATACAGCAAAGTGATTCAGATATAGATATAGATATTCTTTTTCAGATTATTTTCCATTACGGTTTATTACAGGATATTGAATATATTGGGTTGACCAAAAAGTTCGTTTTCCTAACATCTTACGGAAAATCCCAAACGAACTTTTTGGCCAACCCAATAGTTCCCCATGCTATACAGTAGGGCCTTGTTGCTTATCTATTTTATATATAGTGGTTTGTATCTGCTAATCCCAAACTCCTAATTTATCCCTTACCCCCTTTCCCCTTTGGTAACCATGTTTGTTTTCTATGTCTGTGAGTCTGTTTCTGTCTTGTAAATAAGTTCATTTGTGTCATATTTTAGATTCCACATATAAGTAATATCACATGGTATTTATCTTTCTCTGTCTGAGTTACTTCACTTAGTATAATAATCTCTAGGTCCATCATGTTGCTGCAAATAGCATTATTTCATTCTTTTTTACATCAGCCCCATTTTAAAGATGAGGCAACTCAGGCACAGAGAGGTTAAATAACTTACATAGTTCACACAGCTGGTAGGTAGCTGTGCTGGTTTTCGAGCCCAGGTCTTTCTGATACAGACCAGGGTTCTTGGCCTTCCCCAATCAATAGGAATTGACCAGAGGCCAGACAAGAAATTCAGGCAAGGCTTTACTGGGGCCCCTGCTGCAGCAGGGGGGAGTGAGAACAAGCAACGGGTTCCCTTGCTTGCTGCTCCCCAAGGGGGTGGGGGGGAGCTGGATCCTTACATGGGGTGAGGGTGGGAGTGTGTCCAGGGATTGGGCAGGAGGGCTGGCTTAGGTGTTTTGCCCACCCCTCTGGTGATGCTGAGTGCAGGGGGCATGCTCAGTACCCTACTTTTGCTCCCAACACCCTGTTTTGCTCCAGGCTCTTCAGAAGTGGCAATTGGGTTTTGTGGTCTCTTTGTATCCTTTGTTCAGAATTTGCCCTAACTGTGCATACATGCAGTTATTTTTAGTCCCATATAGTTTCTTGGTATTTTGTTGCTGGAGGAGAGGTATGTCCAGGTGCAAGCATTGCAACACTGCAGCAAAGGGACCTGGGACCAGGTCCCAGGCCTGTCTCATTTCTGACTTACAGCCTGAACGCTTAGACCACACAAGTAAGCTCTAAGAGGCCCAGTGGTGATCTGGCCCTAGCAGAGGAGCTAAATCTAGGAAAAATTCTCTTTATCTTTTCCCCAGCTTCTAGATTTAGTAGGCATTCCCCATATGTATGTGAAAGACTGAGGTTGCTAAGAGAAATTACAGTGGCCTACCTACAGCAGTCAAGCTAGGGTTAACTGAGGTGTGTTGGTTTCTACCTCCTGTCAGGAGGAAAATAATGCTTAATCTCACTCCCAGCCCAATGCCAAAGACCAAAGGACCGCTGCCTGAGCTGTGTCCTTGTGGGCAAAACTGAAACTTGCGAAGTGATCTGGAGGGGAGATGGCTCTGATGATCAGAACAATCTAAAAATAAGGAAATGTTTGAAGAATTGTTGTGACAGTGACATAGGGGGAAAAAAAGAATCCTTTACCTTAAGTGGAAAACTTTTGCCCACGGACAAAACTACAATGTCTAGATACCTGTTAGAATTTACAAAAGTCTGTTTCCCCAGATACCAATTTTTGATGGTGTGGGCCAGCACACACATATTAAATCTAGAATTCACGAGGTAATACTATGCAGGGCTGATGACGTATTTATTTAGTACCTGGCAAGTTTTTTCTTTTGTTTTCATTATAAAAGCAATATAAGTTCATGGTAAGAAAGTCAAACAGAACAGAAGGGAGTAAACTGAAATGTAAAGGTCTCACCCAACACAAACCACCCATTTCAACTCCCCAGAAGCAATTCCTTTTGTTAAGAGCTTTTCTATGCAGTCATAAGGAAATAATGTCTGTTGGCTGGTTTTTTAAACAAATGGGACCATCCTATACATCATTGTTTTGGAATTGCTTTTTTAGTATGTAATAGCATGGATTGGGTATCTTGTCACCTACAGCTTAAAATTGTTGTATGATATCCCACTTATGGGATGCAGGAGGAAGTTTTGACTAGTCTCCTAGTATTGGAAATTCAGGAGAAATGCCTGAGAAATAATGATAGTTCACAAAATTATATGATGAATAAACACCTTCATACACAAGTTCCCCATTAGAATATAAATTCTATGGTGGCACAGATTTTACCTGTTTTGTTTACCGACACATAGTGGGTGCCAAATAAACATTTGTGGGGTAAATATCATGTGTATATGGATCTATATAGATATTTTAATTTCTATATGTATTGACCAAGCACCCTCCAAAATTATTGTTTCATTATATATTCCCATATGCTTTGTTTTATTTTGCTTTGTTTTGTTTTGTTTTCACCAGCTGGGGACTTCATCTTTAGAGCTCAGTGTAGTAGTAATAGTGAATATTTGTGTATTAGTTTCCTGTTGCTGCTGTAACAAATTACCACAAATGTCATGGCTTAAAGCAGTTCATTACCTTCCAGTTCTGGGGGTCAGAAGTCCAAAATGGGTTGGCAGGAATGTGTTCCTTCTGGAGGCTTTACAGGAGAATTCATTTCCTTGCCTTTTTCAGCTACTAAAGCCTGCATTCTTTGGCTTGTGGCCTCTTCCACACCATTCCAACCTCTGCTTCTTGTCACATCTCCTTCTCTGACTCTGACCCTCTTGTCTCTCTTCTTCCCTTATATGGACTGTTGTAATTACACTGGGCCCACCTTGATAATCCAAGATAATCTCCCCATCTTGAAATTTCTAACTTAATCACATCTGCAAAGTCCCATTTGCCACATAAGGTAATATATTCACAGGCTCCAGGGATTAGGACATGGACATCTTGGAGAGCCATTACTTTGCATATCACAGCTGCGGAATCATGTTTGAATTTCAGCGTTGTCACTTCAACATGCATACCCTACATATGTTGAGTCCCTACTTATCATGTCCTGAACTAAATCTAAGAAATACACTAACTAGCTCAGTGGTCTTGCCCAAGTCACATAACCTCCTTGAGCCTCCATTTCTCAGTTGCAAAAGTGGAGGGATTCATATCTGTCTCATAGGAACTGCTGTATGGAGAATGTCTCCAGACAGTCTTTTCCATTTGACCAGCATTTAGGAATTACTATATACTGTTTTAATCTTGACAAAATGTAAATGTAAAACACTGGATTAAGCAGTAAGAGGTAGAGAAACAGATCTTCTTGTAAACTTCTGATGTGAATGTAAATTGGTAAAGCCTTTTCTAGAGGGCAATGTGGCACTATGAATATAATGAAAAGCCTTATATATGTTTGTTCTCTTTATCCTAGTAAGTATCCACTTCTAAAGTGCATATTAGGGACATGGTTGAATTTATGTCCAAAGATATTCAGTGAAATATTACTTATAATATGACAGGGGGAACAGAAACAGACTAAATGTCCACTAATAAGGAGCTGGGTAAATAAGTATGGTACATCCTCATTGCAGAAATCTCATCAGCCATATAAAAGGGTTTTGTAAAAGAATATTAAATACCATCTTCAGAGGCTTGTCAAATGATAGTGACAAACCCGGGATTTAAGTCAGGGTTGCTTACTACATCAGCAAAAGAATTCTGTGTGGTGAGAGAGCTTTTATATACCAAAAAAAAAAGACTAAAAGTGTAGATATCATGATGTTACAGTGGTTATTTCTGGGTAATGGAATAAGAAGTGGTTTTTATTTTTGCTTACTTATAAAGTATTTTTAATTTTCTAACAATGAAGATTGGGGAAAAGGGACGTCGATACAGAACAATTCCTCTAGTGAAATTAACAGGCGTTTCTAGGTAAACCAATACTACCGAAGGTGTCCCCCTAGTGGAAGACGGGACGCGGCGGCCGCTGGAACACCTGATTGCGACTTTTCACATAGCTAATTGTATTCAAGACTTTCCGAGAGAAACAAGAGCCTAAAGTTAGTAAGCTATGCTGCTTATTCAAAATTTTTTAAAAAGAGGGGCCCATTGCAAAAGAAAGGAGCAAACCTCACCCTGGGAAGCAGGTGCTACCAATTCTAGGCGCAATCCTTAGATTGACAATGAACTTTTTCAATTGTCAAGGTCGGGGAACTAAGCTCCTTGGGTTTAATTCTCCTCTCTCGCTTGGTGGTAGCTTGTGTTCTAGGTCCAGGTCTAGGTCTAGGTCTAGGCCGCCTGACTCTCAAATCGAAGGTACAGACAAGGTGAAGTAACTGAAGACTCTGGGGCGCAGCCTAAAGCCTGAAAAGAGACACCTGTTGGGAGCGCTAGCACCTCCCCGCGACTCAACGAATCTTCGGTTCCTCTCGGCTCCTCTCGGCTCCTCTTCGGCTGAGTTCGGCCTCGCTCGTCTTCTAGGGCTCGGTTGCGTTCGGCCGGCTCGCGTCTTCTCGGGCTCGGCTCTCTTCGGCCGCGCTCTGCTCGCTCTCGTCTCGGACTCGGCTCTCTTCGGCTACGTTCGGCTGCGGCCCCGAAGGGCGCCCATGGAACAGGGCTTGCCAGCTCGAGAGACAGCTATGGCGCCGCTGCTGGAGTATGAACGGCAGCTGGTGCTGGAACTACTGGACGCGGACGGGCTGGTGGTGTGCGCCCGTGGACTCGGCGCGGACCGGCTCCTCTACCACTTCCTCCGGCTGCACTGCCACCCGGCGTGCCTGGTGCTGGTGCTCAACACGCAGCCAGCCGAGGAGGTGCGGCCGCTCGCGCTGGGGGAGGGGACCCCGGGAACGCTGGGGGCCTTCGGAGCAGACGCAGGCCTCGGCGCGGAGGCCAGGCTTCTGAGGGCGATGCGGGTCCCTGACGCGGGCGGGAAGGCGTTGAATAGGGGTCCCTGAGACAGATGCAGTCCCCTGACGCGGGTGCGGGAACGCTGAGACGGTGGGCGGGGTCGCAGGACCCTGACACAGGTTCGAGGACCTGAAAGGGTTGGAGGGTCTCGGAGAGGAGTAGGGGAGTCATTTGAGAAGCGTGGAGGTGGAAAAGATTGGAGGTCTCAGAAGAGGGTGGGGAGTTGTCTGGTGGAGGATGTGGAAGGGAATAACGAGGCAGTCCTAAAGTTGGGTATTAACGGACTGGCTGGAGGTAGAGGAGTGAGGTTCCTAAAAGGGAACAGTGATGGGGATGGAGGAATCTCTGAAGGGAATGGGGAGACGTAAAAGGAGATGCTGAGGCTTGGGAGAACCCTGTAGGGAAGAGGAGGGACTGGGGGTTCACCTAGGCTGTGGGAAGAGGGGCATAGGGTCAGAAGGGAAGGGAGCTGGAAGCTGAGGGTATTGGGGAAGGGTACCTGGGTTAGGGAGAGTGGAGAACACTGAGGAAGATAGAAGGGGGATACACCTTTGCTGAGGGGTAGTGACAGGCGACACAGCTTTATCTGACAACTCTGATGAGCCCTTACATATCTAGAGCAGATGGCCAGAAGGAAAATGCCAGCTGAGAAGAGTGACCACACACTCCCTGACTGATCCATCTAGGTATCCCTAGTGCTTGACTAGCGCTTAGCACAACCCCCCCCCCCCCCCCAGGAAAGGTGGTATCAAACTTAAAGGACCAAGGGTCCCATTGACATGATGAAATCCCCCTCTAGGGTGGACCAGGACAGAACTAATAGTCTAAAACACCACCTGGGGAAAGGATTCCCTTGTTATCTTCTCACATGGTATTTACACTTGCTTGCAGAGTTGCCTCTGGTGGGCAGTATTTTCTAGGTAGCAGAAGTCTTTTAACTCAGGATTTTAAAAGTCTTTTGTTGTCGTTAAACTGCTAATAACATCTCAAGTGCAGTGAGTCCTTAGTGCAAACCCCAAAACAAAAACAAAACCCTAGATAAATGTCGATTGTTTGGTTGATCAGCGTAAAGTAATTTAGTTTGTATGTTCATTAAGTTCATGATCTCTGAAAAAGGCAGCATATCATTTAAAATACAAATACTGGTAACCTAATAAAAACTGCCCTCTATTAAACGGTCTACTAATCAAGTCTGATTTAATTTAGGAATATTTTATCAATCAGCTGAAGTTAGAAGGAGTTGAACATCTCCCTCGCCGAGTAACAAATGAAATCACAAGTAGCAATCGCTATGAGGTGTACACACAAGGTGGTGTGATATTTGCAACAAGTCGAATACTTGTGGTTGATTTCTTGACTGATAGAATACCTTCAGATTTAATTACTGGTAAGAATTTGAAGACTTATTGTTATTTGTACATACGTTTGCACTTTCTTTTCTGTATGTGTCTGTTCCCTCTGCTAAACTCTAAACTAGAACCTTCTTGTGAACAGCATTGGATGTTTTTGTTCAACATTGTGCTTCCAGGTGTTAACACAGTACCTGGCACATTTTGGCCTGAATAAGAAACTAAATGTAAGATTGACGTTTCCTTGTTTTCTAAGCTCATATTCAGTCAATACTTAGTAATTGACAGGCATTTGCTTTTAGAAACTGCTCAGATTTGAAATGTTTATAAATATTCTTTATATATTTCCTAAAAGAGTTTGGTTTTCCTCTTTAAAGAATATTTTTTCCCGGGCTTCCCCGGTGGCGCAGTGGGTGAGAGTCCGCCTGCCGATGCAGGGGACGTGGGTTCGTGCACCGGTCCGGGAACATCCCACATGCCGCGGAGCGGCTGCATGCTGCGGAGCGGCTGGGCCTGTGAGCCATGACCTCTGAGCCTGTGCTCCGCGACAGGAGAGGCCACAGCAGTGAGAGGCCCGCGTGCCACAAATTAAAAAAAAAAAAAAAAAAAAAAAAAGAATATTTTTTCCCATGATTTGAAATTTTCAAAACAATTTTTTTCAGTATAGTTAGCATACAATATTATATTGGTTTCAGGTGTATAGTAATTCAGTATTTTTATAGATTATGCTCCATACAAATTTATTATAAATATTGACTATATTCCCTGTGCTGTACATTACATCCTTAACTTGTTTATTTTATACCTAATAGTTTGTACCTCTTACTCCCCTTCACCTCTTTTGCCTCTCGCCCCATCCCTCTCCTCACTGGTAACCACTAGTTTGTTGTCTGTTTCTGTTTTGTTGTATTTCTTCCATTGTTTTATTTTTTAGATTCCACATAAAAGTGAAAACACAGTATTTGTCTTTCTCTGTCTGACTACTTCATTTAGCAAAATACCCTCCAGGTCCATCCGTGTTGTGGCACATGGCAAAATTTCATTCTTTTTTTATGGCTGAGTGATGTTCCCTTGTATATATATTCCACATCTTCTTTATCCATTCATCTATCCATGGACACTTTAGTTGCTTCCATATCTTGGCTGTTGTAAATAATGCTTCTGTGAACATTGGGGTGCATATATCTTTTCAAGTTAATGTTTTTGTTTTCTTCAAATAAATACCCAGGAGTGGAATGGCTGAATCATACGGTACTTCTCCTTTTAGTTTTCTGAGGAACCTCCATACTGTTTTCCATAGTGGCTGCACCAATTTACATTCCCACCAAGAGTACACGAGGGTTCCTTTTTCTCCACACCCTCAAAAAACACTTGTTATCTCTTGTCTTTTTCACGATAGACATTCTGAGAGGTGCGAGGTGATATCTCATTGTCCGTGTCTGTTGGCCATCTGTGTGTATTCTTTGGGAAAATGCCTATTCAGATCCTCTGCCCATGTTTTAATCAGGTTCTTTGGTTTTTTGATGTTGAGTTGTATGAGTTTTTGGTATATTTTAGGTATTAATCTCTTATTGAACATACTGTTTGCAAATATCTTCTCCCATTCAGTAGGTTGCTATTTCGTTTTGTTGGTTGGTTTCCTTTGCTGTGCAAAAGCTTTTTAGTTTGATTATTTTTGTTTTTGTTTCCCTTCCCTAAGGAGACAGATCCAAAAATTATTGCTAAGACAGATGTCAGAGAGCATACTGCCTATGTTTTCTCCTAGGAGTTTTATGGTTTCAGGTCTTACAGTTAGGTCTCTAATCTATTTTGACTTTATTTTTGTATATGGTGTGAGAAAAATGTTTTAATTTCTTTCTTTTACATGTAGTTGTCCAGATTTCCCAATACCAGTTATTGAAGAGACTGTCTTTTCCCCATTGTATATTCTTGACTACTCTGTCTTAGATTAATTGATCATGTGCATGAGTTTATTTGGGAGCTTTCTATTCTGTTCCACTGATCTCTGTGTCTGGTTTTGGGGCAGTACATGCTGTTTTGATTACTGTAGCTTTGTAGTATAGTCTCAAGTCTGGGAACATGATACCTTCAGTGTTGTTCTTTTTTCTCAAGATTGCTTTGGCTATTTAGAGTCTTTTGTGATTCCAATCAAAATTTAGGATTATTTGTTCTAGTTCTAGGAAAAATGTCATAGGTATTTTGATGAGGATTGCATTAAATCTGTAGATTGCTTTGGGTAATATGGACATTTTAACAATATTCTTCCAATTGATGAACAAAGGATATATTTCCATTTATTTGTATTGTCTTCAGTTTCTTTGATCAGTGTCTTATAGTTTTCAGAGTACAGATCTTTCACCTCCTTATTAAATTTATAATTGGTTTAATTTAATACCTAAATTTATTCTTATTTTATTCTTTTTCATTCAGTTGTCAATGGGATTGTTTCTTGATTTCTGTTTCTGATACCTCATTCTTAGTGTATAGAAATACAACAGATTTCTATATTAGTCTTATATTCTACAACTTTACTGAATTTACTGAATTTATATATTCTAATCGTTTTTTGGTGGAGTCTTAAGGGTTTTCTATATATAGTATGTCATCTGCAAATAGTGAGTTTTACTTCTTCACTTCCAATTTGGATGCCTTTTATTTCTTTTTCTTGTCTGATTGCTGAGTCTAGACCTTTCAATATTATGTTAAATAGAAGTGGTGAGAGTGGACATCCTTGTCGTGTCCCTGATCTTAGATGAAAAGATTTTAGCTTTCACCATTGAGTATAACATTAGCTGTGGGTTTGTCATAAATGGCTTTTATTATGTTGAGATATGTTCCTCTATACCAACTTTGTTGAGAGTTTTTATCATGAATGGATGTTGAATTTTGTCAAATGCTTTTTCTGTATCTGGTGAAATGATTATGTGATTTATATCCTTCATTTTGTTAATGGTTCAATATCCACAAATCAGTGTTCAATATTGAACTACCCTTGCATCCCTGGAATAAATCCCACTTGGTCATGATGTATGATCCTTTTATATATTGTTGAATTCAGTTTGCTAATATTTTGTTAAGGACTTTACATCTATGTTCATCAGGGATATTGGCCCTTAATTTTCTTTTTTTGTAGTATCTTTGTCTGGTTTTGGTATCAGGATAATGCTGGGCTCATAGAATGAGTTGGGAAGTGTTCTATCCTCTTCAAATTTTTGGATAGTTTGAGAAAGATAGGTATTAACTCTCCTAAAGTGTTTGGTGGAATTCTCCTGTGAAGTCATCTGGTCCTAGACTTTTCTTTGTTGGGATTTTTTGTTAGTGATTCAATTTATTACTAGTAATTAGTCTCTTTAGATATTTTATTTCTTCCTGATTCAGTATTAGAAGATTGTGTGTTTATAGAGGTTTATCCATTTCTTATAAGTTGTCCAATTTGTTGGCATATAACTCTTAGTATATTCTCTTATGATTATTTGTATTTCTGTGATATCAGTTGTAAGTTTGTCTCTTTCAATTCTGATTTATTTATTTGGGCCCTTCCTCTTTTTTTCTTGATGAGTCTGGCTAAAGAATCAATTCCTTTAAATAGACAATTAGGTTGTTTATTTGAGTTTTTTCTTGTTTCTTGAGGTAGGCCTGTATCACTATAAACTTCCCTCTTAGAACTGCTTGTACTGCATCAGATAGATTCGGGAAAGTTATGTTTCTGTTTTCATTCCTCTCAATGTATTTTTTAATTTCCTATTTGATTTATTTGTTGACCCATTGGCTTTGTAGTAGCATCTTATTTAGTCTTCATGTGTTTGTATTTTTCCATTTTTCTTTGCAAAATTGATTTGTAATTTCATAATGTTGTGGTTGGAAAATATCCTTGATATAACTGCAGTCTTCTTAAATTTACTTAAGTAAGGAGTTAAGTCTTTCTAGTGTATTTTTCATTTTAGTTATTGTATTGTTCAGTTCTGATTTTTTTTTAAAATATTTTTCTAGTTCTTTGTTGAAGCTCTCACTATATTCCTCTATTTTCCCAAGTTCAGTGAGCATTTTTATAACTCTTGCTTTAAACTCTTTATCATGTAAATTACTTATGTCTGTTCATTAGGGTTTTTTCTCAGGATTTTATCTTGTTCTCTTGTTTGGAACATATTCTTCTGTCTTCTCATTTTATTTAACTTTCTCTGTTTGTCTCTATGAAGTTAGGCAAAACAGTTACCTATCCCAGTCTTGAATCCATGTCCCTGTGTGGGAGTGTCCCTGTGCAGTCTGTGTGTGCCCAGTGGTTTTGGTGGGAGAGCTGAATCTGAAGAGGGCACAGGCCGCGTCTTCTCCCAGGGTCCACTGGCAGAGCTTGCTTGGTGGGGGATAGGGCTGGAGCAAGAGTTCGGTGCAGACTGGGGCGGTCAGGCAGGACTGCCAGAGCACCAGGCAGTTTTCAATCTGCTGCCTCTGATGAGACTGGGAGCAAACAAGTCTGTGCTTACTCACTCTCTTCAAGAGTGGAGTCTTGGTTTCCTACAGCCCACTGGTTAGCCCCACTGGGTTCCAAACCAGCCAAGGGGGCCCGTCTTCCCAATGCTGGACCCCAGACTGGGGTATCAATGTGGGGCTCAAACCCCTCACTCTTTTTTTTTTTTTAACATCTTTATTGGGGTATAATTGCTTTACAATGGTGTGTTAGTTTCTGCTTTATAACAGAGTGAATCAGTTATACATATACATATGTTCCCATATCTCTTCCCTCTTTGTCTCCCTCCCTCCCACCCTCCCTATCCCACCCCTCCAGACAGCCACAAAGAACCGAGCCGGTTTCCCTGTGCCATGCGGCTGCTTCCCACTGGCTATCTACCTTACGTTTGTTAGTATATATATGTCCATGTCTCTCTCTCGCCCTATCACACCTCACCCTTCCCCCTCCCCATATCCTCAAGTCTGTTCTCCAGTAGGTCTGTGTCTTTATTCCTGTTTTACCCCTAGGTTCTTCATAACATTTTTTTTTCTTAAATTCCATATATATGTGTTAGCATACGGTATTTGTCCT